CGGACGCCTACGACAACACACCTTCAAGGATTATAGAGGCCATATTGGACAAAAGCTTTAAGAATTCACAAAGGACAACGAAGAGAATACCCTAATCTTTAAGCCTTGTGAAGGCAAGCCCATTCGACATCACAACCCTTAAGGTTGTGACCACTATACTTCAGGAGTGCGAGAGCATACAACTAATAATCAGAGGACTCTTCATTGAAGAATCTTTTGGTCATAACAATTTTTCTGCGCTGTTGTATTGTTTGTGAGATTAATATTGTGCACATCTTCGAACTGTGTAGCCAGTAGATTAACTTTTGCTTCTGTTGTTACAGCCTCAATACCGTTTTTCCCAGCGTAGGTATTGCATTGTATTTTGCCTTAAGGATTTTTGTCATTCTCCAGAGAGAGTTATCCTTGGGATTGAGTTTTTGAAGTTGTTTATTCTATTTTTCATTTCTATATTCTTATTTTTCTCTTAATAGTCCTATTTGCTTCACATTTTGACTTGTGGTATTTGAGTTTGTTACCACCTTTTCCTTATCTTATTTCCACTCTTAATTAAATTTAGTACATCACAAGGCAGTCTATCATTAGTATTACTTACTTGTCTAATAGGAATACTTTGTTGAACMCAATAGTTAATATTATTTGTAAGTTTTTGTACTTCTAAATCTATTTCTTGTGAGGATGTTATTTTTGATGTAATTTGTACTCTGTTATTCAATAGTTAACGAAATTTCTCCCAGTCTGCTTCTTCATAGATGTAGCATTTTATGTTTCTATATTTTTTGTGCTGAGCTCCAAGGTAAAATATTATTGGATTATGATCTGAAYTTAGCTCGTGTTGTACTTCTACATCTGAAATGTTCCTTACATTTTTATTAATTACTATATCTATAATTGATGATGTTGTATTATTGGGGAGGTAGTTGGTTGGTTCATTCGGAAACATTATTGCACAATTATTATTTTGTGTGAAATCATGTAAAATTTTCCCACTTTTGTTAATTCTGTTGCAATTGCAGATGTGTTGCATTTAGATCACCTACGATCAGTACCATTTCTTCAGTGTTCATTAAGGTATTAATGTCCTGTTCGTTGAGAATCACGTAAGGCCTCCTGTAGGTTGATATTATGTTGATGCCACTTAACAGTAAACAATTTTATTCCAACTACTTCTAATGTTAAATTAGTGTTAGTACTGAGTGGTTTATGTGGGATAGTAGCTTTAACGAATATAACTACCCGTCATGCGCAGTTATCACGTTCTTTTCTGTAGCAAATATAACTTTTAATTTTTAATTTATCCTTGTCAGTAAATTTAGTTTCATTAAGTAATAATATATCTATTTTATTTCTATCTAAATATTCTATTAATTCACCCACTCTTCCTCTTAGTCCATTTGCATTCCAACTACAAATTTTTAATCTGTCCATTGTRTCTCCAATGAATCAGTGAAGTTAACAAATACAAGAAATTGTTCCCTTCTACTATGACATTGTTCTAATTTTTCCCTTAATTCTTTTACTAATTTAAGCATTAAATTGATATCACAAATCTGATTTATTTTGTTAATTTCTGATGATAGTTCTGTAATTTTAGAGCTTTGGTTAGTAATAGTGTTGGTGAGTGTGTTTTCTTGATACGTACTGTGTGTTTTTATTTTGAAATAACATGCTCGTGGCGTTCCATGGATTTATAGAAGATACTTTTGTTTTAAGAATTAGAAATTCCTTGTTATTATTTAGTTGTAGTGTTTGCATGGACACCTTACCTTTTTGTAAATTCTTGATTTTAGTACTACTGTTTTTATTTGTAAGCAGATTGAGTCTGCTTTGATATACTTTACATACTGTTGCATTTGCTGAATGGTCTTCGCCACAATTGGCACAAATAACAGGTACATCTTTGAGTTTATTACAATCTTTGGTAAGATGATTTTTGGAACATTTTAAACAGACTAGTTATGACTAGCAATTTGAGGTTGCATGTCCCCACTCTTGACATCTATGGCACTGGCTTATTCTTTTCTTGTAAATGTATGGTTCTCAGGTGATTTTTGTATAGTTAAGGTAATGTACTTTTTGCTTCAGTTGTGTTAGAGTTGTGTCAGGACTGTACGTTACCATAAATAGTGGCCTCGCTATGTTTTTCATTAAATTAGCTTGGATAGCGTTAATATCTTGTTCATTTAGTTTTTGTACTATTTCTATTGTGTTTGTATTTGCATGGAGCCCTCTGATTACAAATATGCGTTTTTATTGTCTTTTTCTGTAAATGTATGAAATTGTACACTGCTATTTTGCCATTGTGTTTTTAATGATTGGTAGTCTTGTTTGGTTGTAGTATACACTTCTGTGTAGCCTTTACTGTACTTTACATGAAATTTATCTTTTAGTATATTTCTAAGTGTGGTTAAAAGAATTTGTTATGCTCACTTATTTCCCCATGTATGACCAAAGGCGGAGGTTTTCTGACTGGTTTGGTTTTATGAGTTTTTGGTTGATCATCAGTGCGATGAGTCCCATTTTTATTCTTCGCTATTTCTGAGTCTTCGTCATCTGTTTCCATGTCGCCAAGAGCACTGTATTTGTTTGATTAGGGACATTAAAGGTTATGTTTCCTTCAAAAATTTTGCTTTTTTGTTTCTTAGATTGAATATCAGAAACTTGTACCTTTTGTAATTTCCTTTTATTGGTTTTAACTATACATTCATTAATTTTGCATTTTTCGCTCTCTGATGTATCAGAGACGACGCTTGCATTTTGTAGGATAGTATCGGTAATATTAACTTCTTTACCTTTGCTTATATATTGCACTGTTGTATATTGCACAATTTAAGAGTTTTCGATCTATATCTATTACATACGTGATTTCAGTCTGTTAATCTTAATTTTCTTTGAGATAATCGTTAAATTTGGGCATGAACTCGCAGACCCGTACCGAACCGAACCGAACCGGACCGGACCAGACGAGAGCCGGACGAGAACTGTATTAGTTACTAGTTTAGGTCGATACGCATTACGCTACAATTGTAGTTGATGTTAGACTTAAAGAAATAGTATATAGAAAAACTAATAAATCTTTAACCCTAATTTTCTCAGAAACGACAGTACCTAGGAAGGTAATTATTATACACCGTATGAACGGTCTGTAATCGTAACGAACTCATATAAATTTATAAAGTTTCATAAATGTCTTAAAAATACAAGCTCTGGGTTTTCTGTGAAGTAATATGAGTCTACGCTTCGTAAATGCAATCGCACATAAACACACACATATACAAATCTAAGTAGCAAGGAGTGGGGACTCCGAAGCAGCGCATAAAGAGGAGACCGAGAATAGGAGAACTGTATATCTATATTTTGTCTCATTCTCTCGCAGGTTTAATCCTATATGTTTGTCTTTTTTGTATTTTATTGAAAAATTAGTATGAATTCTTTATTTCGCAAATATAATAATTAATAATTATGAAATACATAAAATATAATAATTGTATTGTCAGCAGTATTTTACAAAAAAAAAAATGATTACAAGATACATCAGAGAAAAAGAATTAAACAATACTGTAGAATACATTAGAAGCAGCTGAAAATTTCCATTCAAAAGCAAGTAAAATACTGTCACATTTTTATTTTGCTTCTTCATAAAATATATTTGATTCACAAAGATCAAAATATATCTGTTGAATTTGATTTTTATATCTTTCTTATCTCTATAAAATTCCCCTGTCACGGTGTTTGTTATTCTTATTCTCCGAAACGACTTGACCGATTTATATGAACTTTTTTGTGTATATACGGTAGGTATGAGAATAGTTTTTCTTATATTTCTTATACCCCCTAGTGATAAGGGTGACCCACCATAATTATTTTTCCTTCAAAAGGATATTAAGAAAAAAGAGAAAAAAAAGACAAATGTTATGTGCGTATATACAGACAATGTAAAATTATATGATGTGAAGTAAGTGGTGATCTTATGTTACCGCTCATGCGCAGTTGGTTCGATATTAAGAAAAAAGAGAAAAAGAAGATAAATGTTATGTGCGTAGATTCAGATCTATCTATATATTTATTAGCCACAGCAACGCGTTGCCGGGGCACCCCTAGTGTTCTTATAAAAAATATCCACAGACATGTATTTACCCAAGCATATAAGAAAATTATATTGTTAATTGTAATATTTACGTAATAAAGAACTTTATGTTAATTTTTCAATCAAATAAAAACATTTTTAACACGCTGAACGCCCAGCGTGAATCAGTGGGGCCCAAATTCTAGACTCGTTGTGTACACAGTTCGATAAGCTGAGAGAGCGATACGAATCAATGCGTTCTTTAGATTTTTCGTTGTTCAGATCAGATGAGAGTATTTAGAGAACATAAGTTTGTGGTTCAAAGAATAAAAACGAGATATGTTATAAATAATAAGGGTCTCGAAGTATGGTAGGGTATGTAGTTGAGAAAACATTTCTCGAAAAGATTTTTATTTGATCTCTTATTGCATTTGTACCAGAACCTTTGTTCAATCAAGTAGTATTTTCCATATGGTTTTCGTAACGTCTTTATTTCATCATTCCTAAAATGTTTGTTAGACAGCGCAAAAATGTAGATGAAAGTGAGAATTCGAAAATCATCGTAACCAATAAAATTTTATACCTGACATTCACAAAAAGGATATTTTATATTTACTTATTTTACGAAAAATTATATTTCTCTCGATAAACATCCTACGATTTTGGTGTCTATTTATGACTATGGCATTCAGCTTTCAATTTTTATTACTTGTATTTGGAAAAGTGTAGTTTTTATCAGCTATTCCACCCACTGATCATGCTGGTGCCCTTTGTTATATATACTAAAGATATTATAATAAATAAATGCTACAATTATCTTATTTTTGATACTCTGCATTTGTCTCATTCTCTCGAAACTTAGTTTTTGGAAAGTTTCACTTCTAACATGTGTGACTTGCACACATGATTTTTTTTTCGTTCATTTATTGCTGATTTAAAATTTTTGTACCTTATGTTCAATGAGAACGTCGATAAATGTATGCGGTTAGAATCTGGTAAGAGTAACGAGTTTTACTCCAGTCATCAGACAAGGTAACAAGATACCGTTCATGCCGAAAATGTTAAAGAAAGGTAAGAATACTTCTATAACTTCTTGATTTACACCTGTTTAAATAATCATTATTATTTCGAATAAATAATTTACGAAGTTGCAGAAGTCAATTATTTTTTAGGCATATCAATTATAACGAAAGTGAAATTTTTTGCTCTACCATCCGAAGATTGAACTTATATTTGATCAACATTCACCATTTCCATATTTGCAACTAAATTAGTATACGTTAACATCACATCTTTCGGCAATCCTGTTGTCCCACTCGAAAAAAGTAAAACTGCGAAATCATTTATGGAACGGTTTAAGATTTTCAATGGCGGAAAATTCTTACCGCGATTAATCAAATCATATAAATTTTTAAATCCATCGATTATCAATTCGTAATTTTCGTTGACGTAATTGTATAACGTTATTGTTCTTCGTAAAACTCTTGGAATTGGAATAAGTTTTGGTTTTTCAAAGCATTTCAAAGGCATTTAAATTTAAGGAGAATGATATAAATTGTAAGCATTAAATTATTAATACCTAAAAAGGTATCACCCCTACCATCATAGGACCGGTTTGATCATCGATATCGATGATGGATGATCCTAATTGTATTTTTGTTGCTGCTTTCTGTACAACCAGAAAAATATCTCTTACCGTGATAATACCTTTCGCATTAGTCGCCTCCTATTGCTTTCTTATTTCCTCTAATGAAAATATTTATAAGGTTTAGATTTATTTTTTGCCCTATTTTCTTATCCATTAGTTTAATTAATTAGTTTAATTTAATTAGTTTAATTAAAAGTTTTATTAGTAATAATAAAACCAATATTAGTTTATATAATTTAAAGTAATCAATTAATAATATTTATCAGTATAGTTAGTTTAATTAATTTAGTGCGTATATACTAATCGTGTATTGTGGATTGATAGTTGTGACGTTGAGACCTGCCTCCAAAATACCGAAGAAAGCTAAACTCCATTCTGGCAAATTGGGTGCCATCAAGGCAATAAAATCATCTTCCTTGAAATTTAAATTTCTTAAACTTCTTGCAATGTAATTTGTAGCTTTCCTTGTTTGACCGTACGTATATTTCCTACCGGTAATACCACATTCCTGAAAATAGTTATTCCATCAAAACTACCCATGATTTATATTTGTTATCATTCGAATTTATTCAAAATTCCAAAGGAATAAGCCATAAAATACTTACCAATGCAGTTTGTTTTGGAAGTGTATCAACGTTATGCCAAACATATTCCGAAATATACATGTTGGGATAGGTAACATCACCGAAGGGCGATGAAATGAATAATTCTTCATTATTATTTCAAATAATCTTTTCTTTCGATTGCACGTAACCACGCTTAGAATTTAAAAATTGTATTTTTACACCATCGTTAAACGTCGATTCGAGTTTTTTGATAAAATGGGACAAATTCCTCAACGATTTCATACTTTTCTGAAATTCTAATCGTTGAGAAATATTACCTAACAACAAAAATAAACGAATGATTGAATAATTGTGTGAAAATATTATTTATAAAACAATCGTTAGGTACAATATATGGTACATGATTACTTTTCGATACGATGTAATTTACCGTTCAGTTAAATTTTCATTCATTATATTTATTTACATAACACTTGACAGATATATATGAATACAAGAAAATGATATGAATGGTAAAGGCATATCATAAAAACTGTAGAAGTAGCTTAAATAATAAGTCGAGCTAAGTTACGCGATAAATTTTTTTCGCGACTTTTATTTTATCGCTCTATTTAATAGCAATTATACTATAAGATATAATAGAAAAAAAAACAATTGATAAAGAAAATAAATCGTTTTATCCTAAAAGATTCGTCGTCGTGTGACTACACACAAGTCATCTTTGTCTTCGTCTAAAAAGAAACAATTTTCAACTGTGTGTGTGGTAACAAGATTAAAAGAATGAAGAGCAAAGTGCAACAAATTTTTCTTATCATATTTGTCATAAATACAGCTTTTTATTTCTATCTTTATTTACTATGTCTTGACAATTATCTTAAAAATAATTTACATATAAATACACATAAGTATTTTATATGTGCCAAATAATCGGTAATTTGAACGCGGGTATATTAAAATTCCTTTTTTATTTTGTTTTTCTCAAGAAGATAATAAAAAGAGCGAATAACTTACCAATCACAAGATATTTTTACTCATAATCATAAGATTTTTTACAAATAGTTTATATAAAGAAAAAAAAAGAAAAGAAGGTAAGAAAGGGATGAATACGTGATATATATATACGTGATAATAATGTGATATATAGACCGTTTATTTTGAAAGTAGCGTAAGTCCACTTTCTCTTGTTTCGAGAAAATTAAAGGTTAGCATATCTGTTAATTAAAAAATTTAAGCAAATTATAGGAAGTCTGGCAATGTTTCTAATAATTTATCAATATGTAATATGTTTTGTAAGTCCGATCTTTTTTAACCTTATCATGGACGAAATAATCCAGGAGGTTAAAACAGCTGGAGAAGGAGATGATATCGGAAGATGAAGATTATCTGCAAAGGATGTTATACAAATTCGAAAAAACGGCAGGAAAGCTTAATATGACTATTTCGATACAGAAGACCGAATCACTCACCATCTCCAAGGAGTCCAGACGATGAAAGTTAGCAATATACAACCAAAGTGTCAATCAAGTGATGCGATTTAAATACCTAGGTGCGATCATTACGAGCGATAGAAACTTAGAAGAGGAGGTAAGGGACCAAGCAATCAAAGCTTCCATAATCTCTGGATACCTATGGATATCTCTGGATACCTGGATATCATATGGAGAAACAAACATATGAGCATCAAAAGCAAGATGCGAATATACAAGACTTGCATCAGACCGATAATGACCTACGCGGCACAGACAAGGACAGAGTCCGCGATAACCAAACGTACCCTGAGAACTACAGAAATGAAGACACTACGAGCCATAACAGGGAACTCACTAAGAGACAGAAGAAGGAATAAAGAAATATAAAAAGAATGTGAGACCCAAGATGGTGTAAGGTGAATACGAAGGAGAAGAAGAGAGTGGCGAGACCATGTAGACAGAATGGACGACAGTAGGCTGCCAAAAGTGGCAAAAATAGGAAAGATAGGTACAATGAGACCACCGGGAAGACCTCCAAAACGGTGGTATGAAAGCTGGACATCAGTGTCACAGGAACAACAAACGCCTTGAAGATGACTATACAGCTAAAATATAACAGGACAAAGTCCTAATAAAAAGATGAAGAAAAAGAAGTAATTTTGTTATATTTTGTTTTAGGCTGAATTTGATTAAACTAATGTATATTTACTGCCTATATCCTATTTTGTTTACCAATAATGATAAGATATAAAATAGAAGCAGTATTTATAATTTTAAACGTTAATTACATTGTTCAAATTGCAAGATATTGGTAGTATTTAACATACTTATGCTCTTTATATGACAGGGTCTTAAAATATTCATGATGCACAAGAGGTATATAAGGTAATAACTACTTGATATCTTTATATTTTTCATAACTAAAAGGTCTGACATCTTGGTACAAAGGCGACAGGGCTATTTTTTCAAATTTTAGCGATTTTTTAGGACGTTTAGGTAATTTACAGTTCTAAATTCTTTGTCCTTCTCTCTCATCGATGTTTTATATAAAATAGTGTATAGTGCACTTTTAGGAAACCTCATCCAACATATTTGCAACCCAATTTACCTTTTCTCCATTAGTGTTTCTTTCTTATCAGTTTTTTGATTGCGCTTTGAAGATTTTTTGTTGAAACGAAATTCTCTCGTTTTATCTCATGTAAAATGAATTTATTATGTTTTCTACATTGTGTTATTAAATCATAATAATCCTGTGGTTTATATAGGAAATCCTTTTTCTCTTTCTTTTCTTTTTTACTATGGAAATAAAACTTACACCACTTCACTTTCATAATCAATGATTACGCAATTTCTTTTACCCACCAATTTTAAATTGTACAAAACATGGACATTTTTAAGAAATTAAATACTAACTAGTTATACATAAAAAGTTTTCATTAAATTAAACATAAATTATGTGTTATCTCATTTTATTTTTAAATGGACTTACACCACTTTCAAAATAAACGGTCCATATGTTTAACAATTTTCACTTTACATATACATATACATATAATTAATGAAGGGTATCATGGTCGAGTAGCTCTAAAAAAGTTTTTCGTAATGAATAGAAAGAGAAGATTGGAATTCGCAAATAATAACATTAAAAGACCAGTTTGGTGTACTAGAATGAAGTTATTTTTACAGACAACAGTAAATGTAATATTTTTAGATCTGATGAAAACTGCACTATATTGAGGAAAAAAATGAAGTGCTAAAACCATAAAACTTGTGACCCACAGTGAAACACGGTGAAGGTTCTATACTTGTTTGGGGCTGCATGAGTGCAGCTGGTGTTGGTATGACCATGGTACCCTTCATTTTGGAAAAAATTACATACAGTACTTACTAGCCGATATATCAATATTTAAATTATTTTTAAGATGTTCGACTATTTTTATAGCATTTATCTTTGAATTCTGTTTTCATTCTTGTGATAACTCGTTCAGTCTACTGATTAATTTTTCGTGGACGTCAATTTCATGAATTATTTTGCAGCACTTTCTTAATCCATACTTAACAATGATACTTTGTATAGTAGATCGAGATCTGTTTTCTAATTCGCGATATTTCTAATAAACTTTTACATTGATTATTAAATTAATAATAATTTTTCTTTCTTCTATCGTTGTTTCCACATGTTTTCGTCCCATTTTCCAACAATAATTTTCGATCTTAAAATATTTTGAGCTTAACTGATGCCAATAATGCTAGCAAACAAACTAACGAGGTCAATTATAACTAAAATGCAATCGCGCGCGCGCGCGCGTGATGTGTTTATATTATGATTTCTATACGAACTCTCTTGTAAATAGTTCGAAATAAGAACTATACGAATTTTCCATATGTTTCTAACGATTTTTTTTTCTTTTTTTTTCCTTGTCAATTTTGTAATTTATTCAAAACAATTTTTTTTTATTTCATTATATCTATTGTATGGATTCTCAAGAATATGTAAAAATTAATAATTTATAAAAAACTAGTTAATAAACTACAATTTCACAAAATTTTATTTCAAATCTATCGGTGTACGAATACTTTCTACACTCACTGTATATATTTTGTTAATTTAACATGTAAGAATTATAATGAAATTGGATTTTTAATTGAACGCCAGTAAGAACAATTATACAAATACGATTCGGTTTGAAAATAAATTTTAATCACTTAAGATTTTAGTAACACATCTGTAATCGATTTGTAATTATCTGCTAATATATTTTGGTATATAAGATTATTTGATTGATTCAAAATATTTCTAAGCTCGCTTTTGACGATATATGCAGTGCGTAATTAATAATAAAATCGTTTAGCATTTATTAGTTTATGGATTGTATCTAAATATTATTCATTTTTTGCTTCACACCATCGAAATATTTTTCCTTTCTTTCTTTCTACTTTTAAATTGTATTTCTTTTTATTTCCTCTATTTTCTTCCTTCTAAAAGTTCGGAAAAGTTAGTGGCAATTGTCTTATACAATGGTTGCCATTGGCAGTTCTACGCATATTGCATGTTGTCTTCTTCGATCCTCGTCATCTTTCTCTTGTTATTCTTCATTTTCTTCTTCTTCTTCTTCTTCTTCTTCTTCTTCTTCTTCTACTTTTTCTTCTTCTTCTTCTTCTTCTTCTTCTTCTTCTTCTTCTTCTTCTACTTNTACTTTTTCTTCTTCTTCTTCTTCTTCTTCTTCTTCTTCTTCTTCTTCTTCTACTTTTTCTTCTTCTTCTTCTTCTTCTTCTTCTTTTTCTTCGTACTAGTGCTCGTCACTGCTTCATGATGCCCCTCTTTTCCATAGATGCTGCCAAGTTCGACATCGTGCCCACCACAACAATACGTCCGAAAGTTCGCAGAACTTCTCTTTCGTTTCACTATGTCGTCCTTTTCCTAACTTCTCCTCCCATTTTGACTCTTGTTCAAATGCTTTCCAGATACAAAGAGGGTTAAAAGACATCTTTCAATGAAAAAAAAAAGATACAGACTTAGGAAAGCTTTCCTAAGTAAACTCGTAAATACAATAACTTAAATCAATTGTTAAATTAAATTTTCAACACCTTCGCTATAAATTTAAACAAAATATTCGTTTATGCTGAGCATATATTTTTCGAAATATTAACCAGAATCGAAAATGCTGAAAGGACAGTATTAATAATAAACGATAAATTTCTATAGGATTACCGGAAGCGTTAGAAAATGTTGGTGAAAAATTGTCAGTTCGTTACTACCAGGATCCTATCGTCGAAGGTTACGAGGTATTAACGTTCGTCATTTCGCGTCACGAAACAGAAAAAGCAAAGCTTTTGGTGATCAGAGAATTTCGATTCGTATCCAGCAAACGTGTGTCGACTACTGACATTCGTTTCGTTCTCTCTACGCTCTATCGTATTTACTGCAGTGTGTTTGTTTTTTCTTCGATTCCTTTCGTCTTTGGAAATGTCCGTTCGTGTTTTATAAAATACAATTGAACCATTTAATCTTTTCTACCTTTTGTATATGATATGTGTATGTATTTACACACCGGGTGGGATATTTCAAACAGACTATTCAAGTAACTCGATTATTATTGGCGATAGAAAAAAGAGTGGGGTAAATTTATTTGATTTGTAAGTTAACATAATTCCGTATTAATAAGGTTTTTTAAGTGGACGCAACTCTACTTTTTTAAATGTAATAATATATATGTAAGATTCGTGGAAAAAAGACTGGACCAGACTCGAACCCGATCTTCCACTTTCTGGACGACTGCTCTTATCCATTGAGCTATCCAGGGCCCACCGACCAATCCCTCTCCACGAATGCTTAATAAGTTTTGCATGAAGGCTCTCGTCCCACATATATGTTTATTTATCATAAAATAAGGCATTTTAAGTGATAACCAAACTATGATGTTTCAGTTATTATCCTTTTCTTATTTTCTTGTTTATATAAACAATATAAACGTAACGTGTAACACAGTACGTAATATGAAATTAGACTACCCTTGTAGTAAAGTATCATCTAATAAATGATTTTTTATTATCAATAGCTATCGAGTTATTCAAATGAGCTTTATAAAATGTTTTACCCGGTATATGTAATATGTACATATACACATAGAGAGAATTCTATTCTCTGTTCGTCTTTGAAAAGACGTTTGGATCTAACTCAAAGCTTTAGAGAAAGCTTTAGAGAAGAGAGAAATACACGGTAGACGTTTAATACTCGATGATATTCGATATTCCTCTTGCGATGCTCTCGTCATTATCGGTATGTAGGTCGGATTTCCTTTGATATCGCGTTACTATTCAGACATTTTAATCTCTATCGTCTCATTCGATTTACATGATAGGGTTAGGTATCTAGTCGTCTTTTTAGCAAAAAATTCATATCGACTAGGAGATATTCACTCTTAAAGATAAGGTTAGGATCGTAAGGGGGCCCACCAGGGAATAAGCAAGAAACGTTTGAAATATCGTTCCTCTTGATTTACTCTCATCCGGAAACGTGAGATGATGCAAAACGAAGGAAGGTGCAACCCAACAGTGTGTGCGAGAGAGAAGGAAAGAGGCCTTTTTTGTCGAGATCACCCACTCTTCTTACGTCCTTTGCGAATCTAGTGTAATGGGCAAAAAATTATACTTCATGGCGGCAAGGTCTAATAAGATTTTGAATTATGTTGTAGTTATACCGGAGAAGCATAACTTCCACTTCCTTTTACTTCCTCTTCTCTTGGCTTTGCTCGATCTATCTACGTCCACCTTTACTCTTTTCTATCTTCCATCCCCTTCTCTATCTCTTCCTTTTTCTCTCTTTCTTTTCCTTTACTTTCCGAAAACCTTTCCCAGAAAACTCAGTCGAAGCTATGTGTGACTAGATTACAGGCGAGTGTCTTAAAGCGATCAGGATTTTACCAAGTATTTCTCTATCTAGATAAGAGACGAAGGATGAAAAAAAATAAGATAAAAGAAATAAGATAAAAGTAAAAAATTCGTTCTTCGTAAAAATTGTTCTCCCCCTACCCCTGAATTTCGTGTTCTCAGCAAAGAATCTTCACACACATTGCTGTTTCTACTTCATGAGCTACGACGAGATCGAACTGTAATGTATGCATCTATATATGTATGTATGTATGCATGTGTACACGTACTTACTTACATCGAACGTGCAATACAATTCTAACAGGATTGTACGCGAAAGATAGGACGAAGTGAACGTGTGTCTGAATCGACGATTGTCAGATGGAATTCGAAATTCTTACTGACGTGGCAAGGAAGGAAGCACGTATACATATATATATATATATATATATATATATATATTATGTGTGTATATACATATATATACACACACTTACAAGCGATCCCGATGACACGTGGGAAATCACGGGCTTACCATTTCCATATACATATCTCACTATCGTGGTGATCGCTCAACGAATTTCATGAATCTTTTTTATTTCTTTTTTTTTCTATTTGATCATCGTTTTACCCACTTATGTTTCTACTTACGATTTCTAATAATTCTCTTGAGTAATAGAATCATATTAAGTTTAATATCGATTAAATATGACATAAAACTTTGATATACAGAAAATTTAAAGATACACTTTTAGATATAAAATACAAGCCATGATACGTGCAGGAATTTCTACAATAAAGACCGACATGAATAAAACGAATGTTGAATTATTCTTGTGTTCCCTACGACAAGAGACTCGAGACTCGAGACTATCGCGAAAAGTAAAAAAGTTTGGAAAAGCGTTTATATGAGAAAATTCTTTATGCTGCAAAAACAATGCTCCGGTACTTTGCCGCACCCGGCATGCATATACAAATTTATGTTTCTACCTCTATCCTCACCTTTTTCTCCTTCTCCTCCTCCTCCGACCTTACCTTTTTTCTTATCCTTCTCTTTCCTCTCATTTTTTTTCATATCTTTTTTCTTTCTTTGCAACTAGTTTTCTTTGTTTTCTTATTATATATTTTAGATATTGTATTTTTAGGTTTGTTTTTTGCCCTTTGTTTTTATTCATTTTTGAAGTAAAAACTTCTTTAGAATAGGAAGTGATTTGAAAAAAATGGGTGGTTCAGGCAACGAATCGGTAGATGGCGAGGCAACGGAGCCTGTATACGGATAGGCAACGGAGCGACGGGCCGCTATGCAAGGGCCACGATTTTTATTGCTTGAATTTGGAAAAGTGTACTTTTTATCAGCTATTCCACCCAGAGACCATACCGGTGACTTTTATTATATATGGCAATAATATTAAAATAAATAAATCCTACAATTATCTTACTCTTGAAACTGTGCATTCGTCTCATTCTCTCGAAACTTAGATTTTTGAAGGTTTCATTTCTAACACGTGTGATCTGCACACATGTTTTTTTTCTCTCAGCTTTTCCTCCTCTTCTTCCTTTTCCTTATTCTTTTCACGGAAAAGAGAAACTTGTCGGTAGTATTAAATTGTAACATAAATGCAGTATTTATGCCAGCGCACGAAACAACGAAATCTGATTAAAGTTTCAAATTCCAAGCGACATTGCGGGAAGGTGAACTGGCCCCCATGACCGTGTGGAAGTGACGCGCGGAAAATCATGCTGGCAATCTTCCTATACATTTTCCTGTCATGGTCATTATACTGGAATTCATAGAATCCTTCTCTTATTTTCATTTCTTTTTCTCTTCCTACTCTTCTTATCCATTTGCAAACTTACTTTCTCTTTTTACTGAGTTTTACATTCGATTCCTATGAAATTTGAGTTATCCGAGAACACTTGTTACTATTATATTTATCGATTTCACAAATTATAGAATGGTTAATGTTAAAAAAGATTAATTTCTATATATTCAACAATTACTACAAGATTCTTCTACCAAGAGAATTATTATTATTATTATTTTAATAACACATCATAATGAAAAATATAAAGAAAAAAGAGAGAAACACAAACGTGTTCTGCATAAAAGCGTTAATAAAGGCAAGAGTCTAACTAGTTATCACGTCATAGTGGCACTTTAAAACAGGTGACGCACTCACGCAAATACAAAAATATGTGTACATCCATATAATACATTAGTTTAGCTTAATCGTAAAGAACCTAACTTTTTTAATTTTTTTATTCCGAACTATCCATTTGCAAAGGTATCATTTTTCTTTCGGAATTACCTGTAAAAACATCGACCTAGATTTTTTGTTCTCTTTGAGATCCAACCAAATGAAAAGATAGAATTTTATCTCTTGAGTTTAAATAATATCAAAAAAGTTGAAGGGGGTTAAGTATAAGTAAAATTCGTAGATAATACGTGATCAAAAATTAAAATGTTTCTCAAGAAAAGGAGGACTCTCTCCTTCTTCCTCTTTCTTTTGACAATATAGTTGGCACAACTAGGCGGATGTAGGAAAGCGAAGCCAAGTGGGCTGAGAATTTAAGGTGGAATAAAATCGCTAAACCTACACGAGATCGTGAGCACGTTTTGTAAAGCATAGTCGAATGGGTGTTATGTCTTCTTGCGGAAGACTCATGCATACTATAACAGACACTACCAGAGATCGTTCTTGCACACTTTGCCCATCGTTTCGTACATGGCACACAATTTTTGGCCCCTACCGACGACTCCGAACTTAGAATAACCAGCACACTGATGTTTCACTACGTGAAAATTCTACGAGTCTGTCTGTATATAGATATATATGCATGTGTGTATGTGTGTATCATCTATGTGTTCTACCTCGGTCTCAAGCCACAGTCCTTCTAGTCTAATCGAATAATTTTCGAGAATCGTTGCCTCGCCGATTTTCTACGTCTTTTTGCCACCCCTTTCCATTTTCCAGATCGTACCACTCGTCTTTTCATGGGCTTTGCTTCTCGGCCGAATGATGCTTCTTCTGCATACAGAACCACGAATATCGATACTATGAATTTTCACTCATCTTTCTCTATCTATTTTTCTGTTTATTTTATTTTTGCCTCTTTTTTATTTATTTTTTAAATTTAAAGTAATTGACTCAGGTCAAAACGAACAACGAAATAAGGTTTATGTCCATTAATTTTATTACAATTACATTTGGCAATTTTCAGCTTAAGCCTTTTTCATTAATATTTGGTAGGAATACTTAAAACAATTTTAATTCGAGACAATTTTGTAGATTTTTTTAAAAAGATATTTTAAAATTGGATTCTCCATGTTTTTTTTTATAACCACAATGATGCGAGGGAAGAACAAATTTTTTCTACTTTTTCATACAGCTTTTTGTATCAATGTTGTGGATGTGTCTGCTTAAAGAGAGAGATAGAGAGAGAGAAAGAGGGAAAAAGAAAAAAGCATAGCAGTTTGTAAAACGTTGGAGTTTTACCATCGGTTTACCGCGTCCAAAATCGTATCTCTGGCTAAAACTCGTCCCATCGTTGTTCTTTATTTACCAAACGGAATTCGACGATGAACGTCGAACGATACCACACATTTATTGCATCGAATTTTTAAACGACTAAAACCTTTTTGCCCTCTTTGTTTTTCAAAAAATACTATTTGAAAAATGAATTGTCAAAAATATCATAAAAATGTTTTCATAAATCATACTATGTAAAACATAAATTATGTCAATTGTAATACACAAAAATAAATAAATAAATAAATAAATAAATAAATAAATAAATAATAATAATAATAATAAATATTACTATTATATTTAAATATTTTATCATTATTATTATTATGGGCGGGATATTCAAAAATTCATTGTCTTTTAAATTAAGGTACTTGTCTCTATCTCTCACTTTTTCTCTTTTAATCTTAAAACATTTGCACTAGAGAATCTAAGCGCTCAACGTAATATACAAAAATACAGAGAGATGTTTATTCGAAAGTATAGCATCCTTTTCTCGTAATTATCTTGCTACATTTTCCTACTTGGAGAATACTCGTAATGGTGGCAGTACTTTGCGAAATACGAGAAGTATACGAGTCGAAAGGGAAAATTACACCGGGTAAACAAATTTACTCCTTCGTTTGGCTTATACTCTCATATTTACTAAATACGACTCTTAATTCATGAATCTTCATCTTTTTTTTTAATTTCTAAATATCTGATACGATTATTATAAAACATTTATTGATATTTCAGATGTGACAATAACCGCGACGAAAAAGGCTTGAGTTATCGAAAAAGGAAAACAAAAAGAAAGAAATAAAGAATAAAAAAGAAAAATAAAGAAAAGGAAAACTGAAAGGAAGGAAGGAATGTAAGAAGGAAAGAAAGAAAGAAGATAGGAAGAAGAAATAAAAACGAGGTCATCGTCCCTCGAGGCTATTTAACGAAGACTCGAAGGTACAAAGGTATGTAAGGGCAGCAACACACTCTTCCCTTCTAGGTATCTACGTATATGTGAATATACATCCGAAGCACGTAAGTTTAATATCTTCGTGTAGTGCGGCAGGCAAGTGTGGCGGCTCCTAAGAAAGAGGAAGAAAGCAAGATTATTGCTTCAATATTGGCCCGATGTCAGGCGTCGTAGTTACGTCTACGTATCTTCTTCTTGCAACCACCCCAAAGACACATACAAACATGTACAAATACATTTAAACACATATACATAGATGCTTAAAGATAGCACACATGCTCGTATGTGTTAGAGAACTCTATAATACTATCGCGAAGAGAGAAAGAGAGAGAGAGAGAGAGAGAGAGAGAGAGAGAAAGAGAGAGAGGGAAAATTATCTTTTACGTATCCTTCGATCCAACCCATTCCAGACCACATTTACCCAACCCGTGTGTCAACCCTACCCACCCACCTTCGTTCTACGCCTTAATTCTACGCGTGCACGTGCACGACGTATCCTAAGAGAGAAGCTGCACGTGTGCCACCGTTATTAAGCCGTCTCTTACAGCTTATAAGCCGTGTAAACTCGCGTCTGCCTTTCGGTCTACCGTAGGAATCAAAAGGCGTGAACTGTGATTAGAATCGGGGAATATAGAAGGAGAGATAAAGTATATACATATAAGTATACGTGTAGACATTCGCCTAAATGTGTGAAGGAATATTTGGAGATAGTTTCAAAGTTACATCTACACAAACTTGTGTGTTCATCCCTCTGGGAGTTTCTAGTTTACGAGATTATTAGACGCCTATGTTTGGATTAAACTATCATTTTCATTTCTCCGATTTCTCATTTAAAAAAGAAAAAAAGACAAAACATAGTACACGTAAAATCAACGTTCAAAAGTAGACGAGACAGAAAACTCGGTCGATCTACTGTTCACCAGAGTATCTGTTAATTAGACGTGCTAGAACGATGCCAAGGGAACGAGGACAACGAAGAGGACTCGTTGAAAGAACAAAAAGAATCGTTGCTCTCTCTTTTTTCCTCTGTTTGAAATTTTCAATCGGTTGGTGAAGTGAAAGATAGAGAAATGGGGAAAGGAGAGTTTGTAAACAGGGTTGGATCGATCGTGGTTGTGAAAATGCATTGATTTAACGGGCTACAAAAATAGAGAGAGAGAGGAAAAGAAGCTGAAGTTGAGAAAGAGGAGAAGGAGAAATGGTAGATCGAACGAAATCATGACAAAGAACGTGAATGGATAGAAGGATGGATGGATGGATGGATGGATGGATGGATGGATGGATGGATGGATGGATGGATGGATGGATGGATGGATGGATGGATGGATGGATTGGGTGGGTGGGTTGATGGATAGTAGGTTGTTTGAGTGGGTGGATGGATGGACGAACAAAACGGGAGCGAGTGAGATAGTAAAGAAAAAAGAGAGAGAGAGAATGGGAGAGAAAGATGAACGACGTCCTGCGCGCCTTCAGTAATTACAATTGGTACGTCGGAATCATTTGTTTGCGTATTGTTACCGCAAAGTATTGTTGCCTAACGAAACGTTCCACCACCATCACCACCATAAGCACTATCCTAGAACGTAGCACGTTTCGTTGTCCTTGCTTCTCCTTTCGAGTCGAAGATCTTTTTCCTAGGGGATCAAAAGTATTGTTTTCCTTTTACTTGTTGTTGGTATTTCTTTCCACTATCTTCTCCGATTGTATGCATACACTTTACATGTTTGTTTAATAGAACAAAACTCGATATACTCGAACACGATTTCTGTTTTTTGATCGTTCGAATATCCATGATCATCGAATATGAAAAAATTCTATTACAGTTTAACATTGCCATGATTTCATACGTACGTTTACATTTATACACAGATAAACCTTTTATCAATCGATTCAATAATTTAATATCGAATTATATTATATATACGCGTACGAAGCAAAATTATCAAAGATGTAACTACTTTACACCAATTTTCGATATGATACTTTTTCTTATTTTCCTTTTTGAATTGGATAGTTCAACTAAAAGATATCATCGGACGCGAGTTAGCTATCTGGTATCAGCTGACCTATATCGGTCCACGTCGAATATCCGATATCAGCCAATATTTCATAATGGATATCCAATATTTACGATAGCGGACAGACGCCTACGGATACGTGAAATGTAAAAGGCACGCGGGTAGGGAACAAGTGAAAGAGGGAGAGAGAAATGAGACAGCAGAAGGAAAGAAGAAAAAATTGAAACTAGTGCTTCGGAGAAGCTCCCAGTACGATGAGAAACGTACGATGAGAATCCCTTGGCAACCTAGGGCTGCTACATTACGGATAAAGGCGTTGAGATGAAGAGGTAGGAGAAAGGTGAAAGAATTTGAGATAGGTTTTCGCATTGAAATTATCTTTTGTACGGTTTGTTCGAATCGTAGAAAATCGTACGAGTTAGAATTGAACCGCGAGCACAGTCTAACCATAAATATCTTCTTATTTCATCTCGTTGGCTCGATCAACCACAGAAAGGCGGACGGAAAGGAATAAAAGTTCACCGGATGAAATCTAGATCCTGCCACAAGCACGTTTCTGCAAAAAAAAAATAGAGGAAGAAAGAAAATAAAAAAGACAATTAAAAAAACTGATTTAAAAGCAAATACGAGTAGAGTTGGACTAAACGTGCTGGTTAAAAAATATTTCTAGGTTATCTAAATAACGATTGTGTGACGATACACATAAATTAATCGAAATAAAATAATTATGCTAAATATTATTTGAATATAATTAAATGATACCGCTACACCGAATACAAAACAAATCACGACTAGGCAACTTAAAGAGGAAGAAAAAAACATTTTTATTTTTCCTCTAAATATTTTCCAATACATTTAAAAAAAGAATTCCATTGAAATAACTGGTGCTTCGCGAGGTGAAGTATACTCGTCTCGTCCTCTCTAACACTCTTTCTTTCTCTCTCTCTCTTTTTCTATCTCGTGGCAGTGTTTGTTGAAATCCCTGCACATTCTCCAAAGTAGAACACAAAATTATTGCGACAAGGAGATATACCGCACTTTACATGCAAACTAGCACCGGAGTCGTTACAAGGCGTTGCCACGTCTTTTATTTATTTCGGACGATTCCTGTGCCTGTTGCCAAGCTCTCTCAGAAATGGTCCCGTAAGTACGCTTACTGGGAATAAACATTGAATGAGGTTATGTAAAACTAATGCGAATTCATTTGCAATTTTTGTAAACATAGCTTTTTATTCTTATATTTCGCAGAAATATAGTATTATTTTATTATACGATTTTTTCTTGCCTTCTCTTACAATTATTATCACTAAATTTTATTTCTAATTATACCGAATTACAATTATTATTTTAATATATCTTCAAGCTGTGTTTGTACAATTATGAAAAGAATTGTTTAATTAAACGAAAAGAAAGATTTTTAAGATCTACACGGTTTCAGAACTTCAACCAACGTGGAACGAAGCAAGAGAAATCAAGAAGGGGTTTTGTTTATTCAAGCTTTCTCTTTCTCTTTCTCTTTCTCTCTCTCTCTCTCTCTCTCTCTTTCTCTCTATTTCTCTCTATTTCTCTCTCTATCGTCGAATACCGAGTTATAACTTCCTAACGAGAGTTCGACGATTTAGCATAATACTTCTTGTTCGCTATATTCTCTGGAACAAGCTCTTGAAGTTTGGCAGCATGCTTGTAAGTCATCCTGTATAATAAATTACCTGAAGCATCGTAGACTCTTCCACGATGCAACAACATTAAACTTGATCGAGAAATACTATAGGATCAAGATTAACATAAGTTCGTAAGAGAAAGCTTTCATGGCTGAAGCTTATTTAACTTTCTATCAACTGGCTCGAGTTTTTACTCGAACAATACTAACAGGTACATCATTGAAATTACAATTAGTGAACAATTCTTGTTTATAAAATCAAGGAAAATAATACTCTGGTTGTTAAATAAGACACTTTTAAAATTATATAACTTGCATCTTCATCTCTTTCTTACTTTATTTAACAAAGTACGCCATTACGGTTCCGGAAGGACGTTTAATTTTAGAGGCTCAACTCTTTCAGTGCTTCCTAGTCCGGAGATACACCGATGCGAGAACCTCACGAGGACTTACACCTGCATTTCCTACCTCCGTCTACCCCCACCTCTTACCCTCTTCTCCAATCCCAGCTGATCCCTTCTTCCTTGCTTCTTCACTGTTATTCTACTACTATCCATGTCTAATTCGTATATATTTCTTCACTTTCACGTAGAAAAACTAATCCCGATTCATAACTATTATACCCGTGTAATTAATTATAAAAGAAAGAAAAAAATCATGTGTGCAAGTCACACGTGTTAGAAGTGAAACCTTCAAAAAACTAAGTTTCGAGAGAACGAGACAAATGCAGAGTATCAAGAGTAAGATAATTGTAGTATTTATTTATTATAATATTGTTACTATATATATACAGTAAAACCTCTTTTTGTGCGGTCCTTTTTTATGCGATTTTATTTTTGTGCGATTTGTTTTGTGCGATTTTATTTTTGTGCGATTTTTTTCGTGCGGTTTTTTTTATGCGGTATATAAATCTCAGCGGTGTTGGCGCCAGTTTAATGTTTCCTATCAGTGTACATATACATGTTGTGGACGAACCCTGACTACGACGAACTCCTTGACGACAATGCAGATAAAATATATGCAGGGATCCAGATTTCTAAAAAATTGGAAACGCATTTTCTTAAAATAGACACTAACGCCGAAAGAAGCTTGAAATTCCAAAAAGAGCTAAGATCATGCATGTCTCGCTATCGTGATGTTTACAAGCAACTGACCAATCGACCGTTGTCACAAAAACTGATAACTAACTTTATGGTGCCGAAAAATAAATCAATTGAAATCGTATCTTCAAGCGACGAAAGCGATTTTGAACCAATTCATCGCAAGAAGATGCGCGTTTTGGATTGCGAGTAGCAGTGAATTATTTAATGTGCATTT